AATAATAGATTACACAAATGTAGATTAAACTTATTGAAATTCCAATATGAAGGTTTAATAATCTGGATTCGAATTCAAATATAATATTTGTATATCCATATGAAGTAGTATCATTCCACCAATCAATCAAGTTATAAGATTTTCCAATCACTTCAATCTGAAACCAATCAAAAATGTCTCGATACACATACGTAGGTACTTCGGATTCGATTTTCAGAACATAGCGTTTACGATCAGTGGGGCCATATCACAACATTCTATCGGAAGCTTATGAGGCTTACACCATAGATTGGTATTAACGGAGGGGAAGAATTTCCAATATACGGCATACTTGCTTTCGCCCTCGACTTTGTATGCGCTTAAAAATCCCGTTTTCGCCCCAAAAGTACAGCTAGTGCAAATGTTCCTCAAGCAACGTCGTATTTATATTCTAGAATGGATTTTAAATTTAAAACATTCTATTTTCAAATCCCTTTTACAAAGTTTATTTCTATAGAGCCTGTTACACTGCTTCTAATTGAATAAGTCTAATTCAAACTCTTTGGTTATACTAACAATAGTTTTTTAGGTAACTAACATCTTATACTTGTTCAATAAAAGGAAGTTATCAGATTTGCAACCAGTATTTTGTATAGCTACGTAGTTGGACCATAGACAAATTTGTGTTTTGTTTTGCTGCTAAAATGCTTTCTTTTGCATAATGTTCATTTCCAAGTTCTGAATTATGCACGTCCCGTAATTTATTTTTTATAGCGGCATGGTTAAGACGGCACGGTTGACGTGGTAGTTGGTCAACTGGCTGCCGCGTAATATGTTGCAGGTTCGATTCTCGCACGGAACAACTCTCACGTTGTGTGATCCACAGATTGTTGTTTCGGGTCTGGGTATCATGTGTATGTTAACTTGTATGTTTGTAAACGCACCGATGGCACAAGAGAATTTTACAGTGTAAGGCATAAAAAATATACGTCGCGTACAATTATTTATTTTATTCTTCAGTACTTTGGAATGGAAAGTGATGAACAAAGTGTATTAGTTTCCTTTGAAAAACTAGATGAAATGGATTCAGTGTGTTATTGATACAGCTTTTGCTTTGGCATTGGGCTATATATTCCTAGAAAAATATATTGGATATTACTTCTCGATACCTTTGTGTATTTTATACATGACTGTTAGCTAGATTGGTTGTAAACTACTAGAAGCTAAGCTTCTGTCAGTGGCTTCGCCCGCGTTCCCAGTGGTAAAACGTACCCTGCATGTTACTCCAGACAATAACCTACCTCTGTTCCAAATTTCAACCCGGTCTCTTCCACCGTTTTCATGTGGTTGAGTAAGAAACATACACATAAACACACATTGTAGGAGCCTATGTCCAGCAGTGGACGAATACGGGCTGATGATGATGATGAAACAAAAAACTCACATATTATCACATTTATAACAAATTTCAAGCTAATTTCAACTATATGCCTTATAGTTACAGCGTAAAGTCCACTGCGGGCAATCTAAAATACTACAATCTTATATTTGCGTTTGGTACAGGAACAGTGTCTAGGGATTGAACCGCATAATTAAGTTTGTTTTTCCGTAATATATACTTTTGTGGAATAAAAGTACCCAGTGTTATGCCTTGGATATTAAAGTATAATCAAACTAAGTTTCATTGTAATTAGACTGGTAGTTTTTGCGTGATGCGTGAACATACTGACAGGGAAAATTTTTTAAACACGTTGTTGTGTTCGTGTCTATATACTTAAATAACGCTCCCTACTATGTTTTAAATAATTTCTACAGTTTTATTATATTATTATGTAAAGGTAGATTATGAAACCTGATTCCTCAATTACCTACATTAATTATCCAAAAAATAAAAAAATACGAAAAATTTTGTTTAGCATGTGTCTAGGATGCAAAGATCGAAATAAAGCAACATCTATCGACCCAAACAAATAAACAAAATATTCAAGACGTCAAACAATAAATCAGACATTACTTTCATTATCACTAAGACCGAGTACGTTGATAGATAGGCGACCATTCGACCTAAATACCGGGGAGTATTTGATAAAACTATTTAGAACATCTTGAACTATACCCGTGAAATTAGTTAGGGGTATCCAATAAGAGGAATGACTGGACATTTGTACCCCAATTAGAACTGACCGGTTCTCTTCCTGATTGATATAGAAAGCCACGAATTACAACGAATAATTTATCGTAGGGTTAAACTGTAAGTCAGTTGATGGTTTGCCGCTTCATTTTACACGCAAATTAGGGAGTTAAAGGTCGTTGTTTAAGGTGCTTTTTGTATCATTAGTCAAAGAACCTGTAATGATCTCTGATTTTATATTGGTTAAACAAAAGTTAAGATGCGCAGATTAAAATAGAATCAAAATAGAGACCGACTCATTGGGCAAGGGGCTCAGGTTTGATTCCAAGGCCGGGCAAAGTATTACTGAGTTTAAAAAAATCTCAGTAGTAGCACGGAGTCTGCCATTGTGCCCAGTATATGGCAATAGGCCCTACATGGTACTCATAACATAAATAGTGAAAAGTGAGTGTTATATTGTACAGTGGCATTAAGTGTGAATGGCGGACTTAATATTTTAAGGCATTTTCTGACCGTCAACCATAGGGAAAAACAGTAGAAGAAGCTGTTAATGAGAAGCCAGAACACAATTTTAAAACATAAAGAATATAGTTAACTTAATTTTTAAATAACATGTAAACACACGCATAAATTCCAAAAGAATAAATTTGCCACCTTTGAGTTGCTACACCTCAAAATCGCCCTGAATTCCATTAGGCATTAGCGCTGCATAATCCACATGAAAACGCATAGACTGTACACCACTTTCAATACACGTTCTGCAGTTAAATTAGCAATTTACAGTGTAGGTATATGCACGGTGTTTGGGTCTGATGGAGTTAAAACCGTCCAATTAGGGATGCCTCTAAATAGAACGGGACTAAATGCGAAATGTAACACTGTTGTTACTGAGTAACAGTATTAGTGTCTACTTATTTATCTATTGTGTGCTATATGTGTTATATGCTATGTGCTATAGTGCTATAAACTGATGTAAACGAGACGCTCCCGAATCGCTGAGAAAAAGAAATAGTGTTAACAATTTTAAGAGATTTTATTTTCGTGTTTTTCATGCAGCATCATCAGCCTTGGGTAGCTGATTACAATTATTATATATAAGAAATATTTAATTCCCTTACTTGTATGAAAATAACTACCGCTTTTCTACCATCACTTGTGGCGTTTTTCGGAAGTATTCCGTATACATTACTGTGTTTCCTAGTCCTCCTAGTTCGGATTCCCCTAGTCCTTTCCATCATCGTACTACAAGACAATCGGCGAAGCGTCACCAATTCATGGTCGATGTCTCACCCACACGCACGAAATGCTTCGCTTCAAGCTTCCTTGTGCGTACTGCTAAAGAGTAGAAATCTTTGCCAAAGTCTATATTTCTTGAATGGTATAACCTGGGAGTCTTCAAGGCCCGAGTGAATAGGTAGCTTATGGGACGACGTGCTCCATTGTAGACCGCAACATCGCCTACCACCAGGCGAGATAGTGGTCAAACGTCGGCTCATGAATATAAAAAAATACATATTTGGTTATTACATGTCTTAACAAAAACAAACTTGGCTGGCTTTATAAAAATAATGCTAAGAATGGTCCCTCTTTTCGAAGTTAAGGTCATGGAGTAGTCATTTAAAAAAAAATCTATAATTTGTATGTCATTTAATCTTTACAAACCGCAAGTCTACTCGTGTTTCCATACTGGATTAAACTACAATATTCTCAGACAAAAATCTTATAATCTACAATTGCATGCATTATGGAAAAGCTAAAGAAATTACGTGTTTAGCTGCAGTGCTAGTTAGTTACCGTAGCTAGCTAGTTATGCCGTTTAACACAGGTTAAACAGCATAACTTAAGGACTATTGATTATGACAGTAATAATAATCTACCTGGTAAAAAGAATATAGGTACCTACTACAAATGAATGATCTAAAACAAAGCATTATGTTTAACTCTTAATATAATAATTTAATTTCCAACCAGCCAGGTGTGAGTAATCGAAATACACAAATATTTATTAACAAAGACAATTATAGTTATCTGATTACTCAGTGCGAATTGAACTGTTGCTAATAGAGTAACGATGTTATAATACGTATCTTAATTGACCTAAAGTTTTCAAATTAACACTAGTAATTGGTCTTCGTCAAAACATAAGTAAAGGTAAATCTTGTTCCAATTAAATGTCCATTGAATATTAATACTCACGCAATCTCACACGTATGTTTATTAATGTTCTAGAGATATTTGTCACCAACAATGAAACGAGTAATTATGGGCCACGATTTGACTTGAAATTAGTCGGGTAATTTCCGTAAAAAATTTAGGTATTTTTAAAAACATTATTAATTTAATATGTCTCGCGATTTTTACCTATTATTCAATTTTTACCATGTCTTTAATATTATTTCCTAATTTTTCTAGTTATAAAAGCAGTTGAACTTTCTATTCAAAATAATTAAACGTAAATTCACATTCCCAGGTCGAGAAAAGTATTGTTCTTATATGATGTATCTGAACCGGTACACCGTAGAGTGAATTTTGTAATCTAAGTTGATCGAAGATTTCTTAAGATTGGGCAATATGGTGTAAAATGAGTCCTCTTATGTCCTCGATTTAAAAATGCTAGTCATGATTCCAAAAAATTTAAGTAATTTTGGTAGCAAGACACGAAAACTCACTTCTTAGTATTTTCATCATTAGAAAAATCTGTATGTTGTGGGTCTCAGAACATGATTAAACAATCTAACCAAAATTGTTCCGGCGTCTTCAACAATTTAATCTATTGAAGACATCAGATAAAAATTATTACAAGGCTTGATATTTTTAGTGTTATCTAAGAATTACTTGTACTATATTATGCGGTAATCACGTCATCTAATTGCTTACTTATATTCACCGTAAAAAATAAAATTGACCATTTGTTCTATTCAGTTGGCTGTCAACACATTGACGGAGTTTGTTTTTTTTTTGTTTTATCTTAAAAACAAATAGTTTCAATATAAAGAGTTTGTGTCAATATGGGAGAGGCTACTGGATCAGCAGGTAAAATAATAAATTGAACTTCAGGAATTTGTGAATAATAATAAACATGTATTTTTTCGTCTGTTCCTATTTCATATAAATAAAAAGAGATAGAAATATACAGTACCTACAGACTTGTACATCTAGACTAACTAACCCAAACTGTGAAACATCTTCAATAGATTTCTAGCTTTGTTACAAAATGCTAAAGTTTAAAATTGATTAAAGAAAGTTTTATATTGATATACCCGGTATGTGTACCGATATTTTTTTAATATAAACAAATAGGGACATACGTATCGTAAGTCAATGTTTCTGTTACTAGCAAGAACTAATTGAAACGTTCTAATGGTGCTCTATTGAGAACAATTTTGGCAGTGAAACACAAAACACCAGCTCAACAGTTGGTTCGACGTTTTGAACAAATCAATTCGAGTGCAAAAAAGTGAGTGTAATAATAATTGTGATTTCGAATAAGTGATTTTAATAATACCTCAGACAAAAATATAACGAGGTAATCAGATAATCGATTAACGTAAATTCAATGCAGTAGTTCGTGATAATCTGTTATCAGGATAAAGGTTTCCGTGTTTTATCGATACCTACGTAAAACAACCGACATAACATAATTATGAATGTTTGGAAACGCGTCACGGTGAAAATGAAGTGCTTTACACGACTGACGTATCCATTTCGTTAATTTAAACGTAGTCGCCCATCCACACAAATTTCACTTGCGTCGTCGAGTTAGTAGAATAATACCTACATGCGTATTACAAATATTCTAATACGTGTTTGTTTGTTTTGAAAAATACTGGATATGTCTAAGATTTTAAAGGGAAATAATACCAATTATAAAAAACAAGTAAGATAATACCTTCCTCCTATCTTTGCGAATATATTAAATGATACTAATTCATAATTAAATAATCAAAACATGTATCAACAAACTGAACACAATCACTATCAAAAACAGCAATCAATTCATAATGACGCACCATGTAAATATTTAGAATTATTATTCAATATTGTGCCATAGAAAAAATCAACACAAATTCATTCAATTCTAGTTTCTCTATAGATGCACGACTAGCCGGAGCGCAGTTGGTCAGCCGTATTCGCCACTGCGGCCCTTAGTTGCGACCTTGCCGCATAAATATAGACTTGTTCAGTGTCGCCAACAACAAACCGAGTTACCACAATCACGCTTCAGATACTACTTGTCTTATCAAAGAAAATGGCTAAACGATTACGTTCTAATCGCTTTACATCAGTACGCGTGAATCAAAAAGTGTTTACCAAGTATAAAACAGTATTGGACGCGTATTAGTTACGTTTGTTGTGGCGTACAACGTTATTTTCAGAATGTCATCCACGTCGTCGCCGGCTGTGAAAAAAAGTTAGTGTTTTATATTAGTAGCGTGTATTGTGTGCTGTATTAAGTGCTGTAGTTACGTTATTATGATTGGTATAGTGTACAGCTGTGTTCGATTTGAAAAGTGATTCGATAGGTTTGACGTGTGTCAGTAACAGTGCTGCTTTTTGCACAGCTGAGACGGGTATTGTTTAAACTCCCTTTATTTTCTATATCTTTGCTGCCACAAAACAGTTTGTTCTTGTTTTATATACATTTGCTACAACAAATTAAGGTAAACGTGTTTCTGTATTACATTCCTATTTTCTGGGGTAATTCATTTTGTCTGGTCTAAAAACCTTGAACTCCTAACAATAAACTCACGAACTCTCCCATCTGTCTTTCTAATTATTACGCCTAGAAACTATAAATATAGACGGTCTAGTTGAATATTCAGCCAGTTGTCGTTTAATTTCGTGAATTGTGTATAAATTGACTACTTATTGTTTACTTCTTGAAGTCCTTTTCCGAGTCCTTTAATTTTGAAACTGTAATAGGGAAAATTATATTTATGGAATGAAATGTATTAAATTTTATATCCAAATATTTATCAAACTATGCAATCTCATGTATTTGCGATCGTCGATAAGCAGATATAAGCTGGAATGTGCATTAAAATATCAATTGGATTTCTGCGAACGGAGGCAAGCGTGAAAATGTAAATGCACATTTTTCCATCCATATTTTTATTCGGTTGCCTTGTCCTTGTGAATGCGATCATACCGTATTAAATAGCTCGAATACTACTGAATAGGCGTTCTCCAATTCTTTCGTATTCCAATCAATAACGAAGAAATTTTTGTTTGTGAACCATTGTACTGTTATAATTAGTGCTTCTCATACACTGCTCTCATCATTCGTATAATTTTAATGATCATTATCTCAGTAAATATATTATTACATATTCTTCTCAATACGTTTTCATTATCGTACACATAATGCGATTGTGAGATTAAATAAATCATTGTGAGAGTTTCTTTCTAATAAATGTTCGTAATTTTCTACTCGATTACGTATATTGGAATCGACGGATTCTGATATCCACTTATGTTTATTTTCGGATTTCCATTGGCAACCATGTAATGTATCATTTCGGATTTCTAGTAAATCTGTTTGAATCGCCGTGTGTTGCTTGTTTGTTTTGTCGGTGTGTTCTGATTTATTTCGAACTACGGCTTTACTCGTGGTTTCTTTTATGTAAATTATCACATTCTCAGGAAATATGAGCTAATTTTTCTTTGAGTGGTCATCACTGCCACCACTTCACCCGAAAAAGCTCCTTCTTTTGTTTCGCATGTTTCCATTCCCAAAATTTTAAGGTGTGCCGTGTATTTTAATAATTTTTAGGCATATTTTCCTTCTTTGATAGTTTAGTGATTATATTGTTTAGATTTATCTATAACGCTATATTTATCTACACGATTTGTTTGTAATCGATTAAAGTGTTAGATATGACGTGTTACTTTTCAAGTTCAGTTGTTCTTTATTATTATGATATTATACAAGGTCATTACTATACTTTTAAATACGAAAACTATGTCATCGTTTACGTCGTTATCATCACATTTTGTAACACCTTACGTAAACTCTTCGGTAACCATTTTCAAATCGGAAGCAGCGACTTTAATTATTTCTCAAATAGAAGCAAACATACATATTCTTGAATTATCTGTATGTATTCCAGAATGTTTATAATACAAAAGCAGGTTTACACTACATTGGATAATAACATCTCGAGTTTATAGACTGCAGTTGTACCTACGATATACAATATTGTAGTCGGTACTGCTAATATTGTAGTAGTATCTTGGGGTAATTTCACTTAAAATATTCTTGGAATTAATTGTGATTATTTAGATGCTTTTGTTTTTAGTATTGTTTTGTTGATGGTTAGCAGATACACGTATTATGGACTTTTTTGGTTATATCTCAAGTTTTTCTGGATACGCCTAATGTGTTCACAAGAAAATTAGATTAATCTAATCAGAGATAGAAAATGTTTTTGTCTACATTGAGTCGCATTAGAGGTAAAATAGTAATTGGTGTCATAGTATAAATCTTTAGGAAATCAGTTTTTCACTAAGGCCAGTGTCATGAAGTACATACCTGTATTGAAGTAAATAAATTCTCATTTCTCTTGCAGTAGTCCTAAACACGCTGCTCGAGACGGATCACTACGAGGGCCTAATCAAGGAGCTGACGTGTACCAAATGTAACACGTACATGCGGCCGCCCATCCACCTATGTGTGGATGGACACAGTCTCTGCGGCCGCTGCTACGAGAAGAGCTTCGAATGCCATGTTTGTAAGGTAAGGCAATTGTTACAATTTGTTTGAGTAGGCTGCGCGACATCTCCGCGACCTTGCATGCTGCTCGTGCGAGAGGGTCCTTTTGTGACTCGAAACTAGTAGAGCTTTTTTCAGTATATTGACCATTAAATTTCAGTTAATTTGTTTGACCAACTACTTACGATAATTATATCATAGAGTTTCAGTATAGGAATAGATTAAAAACTAAAAATTGGTTATAATACTGAAAATAATAGTTGAAACTGAATTAGCACATTAGAGGCCCAGTCACCCTTCCCACTAAACGTGGTCAACGCACTTAATAAGTCCTGTTTGTGTATATGGATGGCGCACCTTTTGATAACAATTAGACTACTCATTTTTCCCATTTCATGGGCCAAGGCCTAGAATAGAATTGTCACTAGACATGACGCGAACTATATTGCCTGCTAGAATTTCCAACACTTATTTTATATTAGTTTGAATGACTCCAAATTCAACAAGGCATTTCGAATTGAATCGATAGTAATTGTATTTCTTCATTTTCTGAGGCAGTAAAATACCAATGTAGGTGATGATTGAACTCATACTGAGTAGGTATCAATAAAGTCGTCTAATTCATTCATCGTTAATCATGTTTCAATTTCGCAATTACGAAGGTTTGTGTTTACTAACTCTGTTTTGTTCGTCTGTTTGTTTGACTTGTGCATACAGTGGCGTTTGAAAATACAACAATCATGGTCTTATTCTAGAAATAACTACTTGTAATAGAAATTATTGCGTTAATATTGGTTTAACTGAGATTTTTTATTGATACGTGTAGATCAGATGATATCACAAATGTGTTAATGGAATGAAATCTCAAAAAGATGGACTTGTACGGCTTTCTAAACTTATTCCTTTGAAATGAAAGAAAATTGAAAATTTTATCGCAGACATTAAAGAATTTTATTAACATTTTCTTACACTTCAATTGTATTTGGGAATTTGAACAATATCATATGTATCAGCATATCGAATAATTCAATACCCTTTAAGAAAGAGTATGTGTCTTACTCATCATATATATTGTTGATAAAAATATTATTATCAAAAGTGTCGGTCGAACTGTCGATACAAGAAAATCTCAGTACAAAATTATCACACTGCGGTAATTTTATCGATAAAAAATAGATAATAAATTGTCGCATAAATACTTACAATGTGAATAAGAACAATTAATCGACAATATTAATTAATGATTTTTAGTTTTTTATTAGCCCTCATCTGGTAATATGCAACATATTGAAGACGCTTTCTTATTTTGATATTTATTTAGTGTTTCAATACATGATATATGGACCTACTTAAGTACTTGTTCCACCGCCCACGAGAAAACGACTAACTATCAGGTATTTTCTCGCCCAAGAAACGTTTAATAGATATCCATTTCGTGTAGTTAAAGAAAAGAGATGCATATACGAATAGGTGATCGCTGACTGTTCACACTGCCAGCGAGCACTCGCAAGAGCAACTATCGGAACTATACGTACTCGCTCCCCGTGGGTCGCCAACTCGTTTCCAATTGTATGTAGATATGTCGCGGAGAACCTAACGGGTAACCGGGGCTCCGGCTCGACGTGCAGGAGAAGGAACGGGGTGGTTTTTAGTCAGTAAGAGTCTGACACTCCCTCCCGCCTCACCCAGGCGGGAGCAGTCATTCGATGATTTTCCCCCCTTAAAAAAAAAAAAAAATTGTATGTAGATCTACTCATTACTCGTTCATCGTTGCTGGTGGGACAACTGCCTTACCTATGTATACTATCTTTATGAATAATAATAATACATAGTTATAATTTCATAAGTATGTGCGTACGGCTAGAATTGACGTGAAATTTAATAAAAATTTAGCCTAAATGATTTATTACTCCGTAAATTTTCATGTTCAGGATCCCATCGATCATTGTTATAACAGTCCCTAAAGTTGAAATTATGTTAAATATAAAATAATATGTCACTAATATTTTACGGACATTTTGACCAAATAGGCTTTGCCAGAGTGCCATGTTATTTTATTTAAGACCTAACTAAGACATTTTACTAATCACAACATCCTCAGCCGGTTACCTCTCAATCGAAACAGTTAATTGGTGATATTTTCTCAAAAATCTAAAAACACAAACAAACAAACATGTCTATAGTTACTAGAATATTGAACTCAAAGAGAAATACATCCAATCGCAGACAGTTTTTTAATTAAAATACGTTCGGTTCACTTTTCGACTGTCGAACTCATATTTTCAGTAATTCTTTTTTGTTTTAATAACTCCACAGAATGCAATAAATATGTAAAATAACAAAGTTCGTTTAACTTAAAATCAAAAATATCGAGATAGGTTTTTATTTACACATTTTATTAAAATATATGGCTATAAATATGGGTAGTACTTTTCACGTCAAAAAATTCTTGGCGTTTCACATTTTCTTAGGGTCTCCGGGAAAACCTACCTCACACAAGGAGTAGGCAGAGATGCACACAGAAGTAACACCCACTTCCACTATGTATGTTATCATTCCCATGTAATAGGGGGTGAGCCTATTGTTATATACCGGGCCCAATTCCAGACTCCGTGCTACTCAGATTTTTTTTTTAAAAACCCAGTCATACTTTGCCCGACACGGGAATCTAATCCGAGATTCCTTGCCCGGCAGTCGCAGTTACGACCACTCGGCCAACGAGGCAGTCAACAACTTATGTCAGTGTGGACATTTCTCAAAAAATTTACAAGCTAAAAGGTTTTGTACAAGCTGTGTATAATTGGAGTTGTATGATGTCAGTCAGACACTCTGACAGTAAGACAACCAAAGAGCTTAAATAATTTTCGATATGTTGTATGTATGTTATAATGTTTTGTTAGGTTTAGAATATTAATTAGCGTTCTAAAAAAGTAATCCGAAAACTGCGTTATCGATCCATGGCATTCTTCCACGTCAACAAAGCTTTGCTTTAAAATATCTCGCTATTCTTATAAAATGTGAAGTATTTAATCAGACGAAGCTTATCAAAATGCTTCACATTTTATCATTTATTAATAATACTCGGTTATTTTCAGCACAATACTTATAAAATTAAAATAACTGTAATACTAAAACAGTTTCAAAAGTTCTTTAAAAGTAAATTATGTATTAAATGTCAGCTTTCAATATTGGTACTGATAAAATATGTACATATGTATATATGATTTATTTTTGTTAATAATGTCTCTTGTTATCTTACGAGAATCTTTTGGATATTAATATATATGTACATACTTCTATTATTTTAATTTTAGACTTGCTATAAAGTTTCGTTTTTTTTTACATGCTGAATTATCGTTCATTATATCGTCGTAGAACGTCTTATATGATAAGATCGTCCACAATTCCATTGTTAGTTGTATGGTATAACAAAGAAATAAATACATGTTTTATGAGACTACCTTGACATAATCTAAGATTTTAATAAGGTAGTAGAGGTAGTAAGGATACAAAAAATATAATATTTATTGTACTGTAGTTTGAAGGTATTTTGAATGATAATCATGCTTACACTATACTAATACCTAATATTTTGCACGGACAAAATACTAGAACTAAAACCACGTTCCAATATCAACAAGAGCTGGAAAAAGAACAATTTTTCAATTTGCAAAGTCTTTCATCAACCTTTGCGTATGGGGCTGACGTTGCTGTTGGAATAGTCCAACTAATCCCTTTGGATTCCGAGGCACAAACTGCACAAACCGACAGCGAACCCCCCAGTAACTGGAGCCGACAAATTATAGAATGTAACGGTTTTCCACCGAACGTTCTAGCAAATAAAAGTGTAGAACATTGGCTAACTGGAATCGTCGATAGGTATACATATGAGTGTACGAAGCTTTTTTAAAATTTTTCATTTTTGCTTTCTCTAAGAATACATAATGACAGATCTATCATAACTTACGACAAAAATATATAAAAATAGGTAGATTTATTAATACTGAATCGTGATGATTCATCACTAATCTATAATATTCTTAGTAATTGATAATCTCATCTTTCTGCCATTTATTGCAAATAGGATAAATATATGGTGTCCATAATCGACTTAGAGATATTATAGTAAAATAATTATGACAGGATCAAGAGTGTGCCGAAGTTTATTAGAAATAAAAAAGAATGACGCCGATAGATTTGTATACTACACAATCTATATACATATAATATAATATAATACATACATAACTTCACGCCTGTCTCCCATGAGGGTAGGCAGAGTCTAAGGAACGCCAATTACTACGATTCTTACATACCTCTTTCGCTTCATTAACAGTCATCAATCTTTTCATGCATGCTCGTCGGTTAAGGGTACTTTTAATTTGGCCCTTCTTTAATATATCACCAATCTTATAATATAATATAATAATTTATAATAATAAAATCGTAGGAAAGTGAAAACTGTACATCGAATATTTATTTTAAAGAATGCTTTGGGCGTGATCTGCTGTCGTTACCGAAACAAAAAATATGGTACTTAGAATTTTTGTCTGTTTGTCTGTATGTATGTCTGGGATGACCTCAAAAAGTGCTGCATGTATTTACTTCATATTTTGCATGAATATTACTAACAGGTCGGGTCAACATATAGGCTACATATCATGCTATCAACTATGGGGGAGGAGCTGTGAATCACTATTCCACGCTGACGAAATCGCGGGCTCAGCTAGAACAAAATATGTACAACTAGCTGCTTCCACGACGTCACCCGCTCTGCTTGGTGGCTATTGATCGTAGCATATTATACCTCTATAACCTATAGCCTTCCCCAATAAATGGCCTATCCAACACAAAAAGAATTTTTCAAATTGGACCGTTAGTTCCTGAGATAAGCGCGTTCGAACAAACAAACAAACAAGCAAACATACTTTTCAGCTTTATATAATGGTATAAGATTATTATTATTATTATTATAACACGTTTATTTACAGAAAGAATTCTCACAAACCCGCTCATCAGCTCTCGAATCGTTGGCGAACAAGGTCCTATTTCCATGCATAAATGCTGGCTGCCCCAAACATGCTGTCCTATCACAACTGGACAAGCATTACGCCCACTGTCAGTTTCGCATCATCAACTGCTTCATGGCTCGAGTATATGGTAAGTGTTACTGCTGTTTGTTTATTGTTATTGATGTAGTTAAAATATAAATATATACACATACATACATGTAGCTGTATTGTGGTTTTCACGTCATGTTATGTTAGTTGTTACGTGGTCCCAACTAATATTATAAATGCGAAAATTTGTTTATACGTCTTTACGTTTTATATTTTCAATCGATCTTTTTGAAATTTGGCATATACATATGTATGTTGTAGAGGTATATGTATACAGCTGGGCAAATAAGCAGCAAATACCTTTACTAGAGGACTGACCGACAGACTGACATTTTTTTACACATAGGTACATAAGATTACATTATACATACGTGTAAAAAAGTATGTCAGGATTGACCGATAGAGTGACATTTTTTTAATATTGCAATATTTTATTTTGACTTTCAAGTGCCCTTCTGGTCTAATTAAACTGTCAACCACCAAGCGGTCACCGGTGAACGCAAGTAGTATATGATTGGGCATTCTGGACCACTTTTCGCTCAGCGAAACAAGTTCGCTATCGCGGTGGTCCAGAATGCCCAATCGTCAACGGTCGACTCGAACAATGATATAAACGCGAAAGAGCACCTACTAATGAAACGGTCAACTCGCTTTTATTTAGAGATATGCGATGCATTTTTGTCGTCGATCGGAATGTTATGTATCTCGACTTTTTTCTAACACAATTTACAATCGCTTACAACACGATGATCGTATGGAACGCAAAGTGTTCAAAAAAGTAAACGATGTTTATCGCTAACTATTTATATCGTACAACGTACGATCTATTGTTGAATCGTGTTCTTACTCGACAGTGACATAGAATGTGTATGACTGTTTATCGTCATAAATACAACTTTGCGATATTTAATT